TGGACCATTTTTTCTTAGCAACACGGTAAGGAAGTGAATAAGTAATGAATAAAAAAGTATATATAGTGTCATATTTATTGACTTTTAGTTTTGACTGGAATCATTTTAGGTAAGACTATGCCATGATAGAGAAAAACTAATGTAATTGTCTCAAGGAACATAGAAAACATTGTTAGGTCTATACTTGTCTGTTTTATGTAAAGGTAAGCCCTTAAGTGCTTATCAAGCAGCGCTTCAACAGTGATTAACAAACCTCTACTCTAGGTCTCCCAGGAAATTTATTGTGTGATAAGGAACTTGTGAAAGCTATAGCAAAATGCGGAGGTTTGTTAGCCTTTGCTAAATTGTTAAGCATGTAGGCCACAGTATTGCTTTGATGCATTCCAAGTGCAAATAGTCTGTGTACAATATATATCTTTTATGTAAACTTGACATAGCTTATAAAGTCTTAATTCCTTGAAGAGAAGCCTTTGAGTTAATTTAGTATGAAAGTTAAAGGTAAAAAAATTTTACATACAGTAAATTAGTTACTATATTATATGTCTTGATAATTGGTATGATTATTTTTTGGATAAGTTTGATGTTTATTTTTTCATATTTCAGACAAGGAGTTACAGAGCTCGAGAGGGGTGCTCAATCTAGCCTGTGTGTAAGCCAAAGCTGCTATGATATACAGTACCCAAAGATACGCAAAGATATAACTACGTTCTTCAACAGTTTAGTGTCTTACGTGTATAGTCAGAGTGGGGATGAACACAGAGAATTTCTGTTGCAAGTTGTGACGGAGGTGTTGGAAACTCTCCTGTTTTTGGGTCCATTACATGAATTGCCGGAGCATGTAACATCTGCCAGCTCGCCACAAGGCAATAAGGTGTGTGAATTTACTCTTCATGTGATATGAAAGATATATTTGTGGTTCTTAAAAGAATCCAGTCTATATAAGAAGGAATGAAGTATGGGAAGGAAATGCTGTCAAAGTTGTCACACTGTATTAACAATATCTTCCTGTTTATTAGTGCCCTCTGCAGCCTACCACTTGCTTCACCTCCATTTGGATATTCGATGGTGGAGTGTAGCACTTCTGCACCTGGCTGAGGCCACTCTTGGGTCCCTTTCGGCAGTGACAGCACAACCCATGCACCACAGATGCTAATCATGGAGCCATCTGGACCCCAAGGAATGAGTGGTAGTGTTGGGGATAATACTGAGCCATCGGTACTGGAGCAGTGCATTTCAATGGTTGTCTGGGATCTCGTAACAATCATGTGTCGCGAGGGATTAAAGGTCAGTGGGCAGAAATATGATTGTAATGATTATATTCTTCCTAGATTAAAATGATGGAGCATACAATTACATATCATTTCAGGCATACATGATACATTGTCTAAATTATTTTTATATTTTAAAGGATAGAAAGTTTTAGATTCATAGATATGAAGATAGTATGGCTTGTAGCTGCTTAGCTGTTGAACATTCGTATTTGATGAGAAAATGTGTATCCTAACAATCTGCAAAAACATATGCAGTAAAAGAGGGAACACCATTTGTAGTAATTCTATCTTTTATTGGCCTAAAATTTCCTGTTACAAGTAAGTAATATAATTGATAAAGAGAAATAGCTCTCCTAATTTTTGCAGTTATAACCTGAACATATTTCAGAAAAGTGTGAGTGAACTGCACCTGGTGGCCGGGTTTTCATGTTCCTGTTCACTGGAACTCGGCATCATGATTCTCCATTATCTCGACCATAGGCATCGTTCGCTTGGAAGACAAGTGAGCATTTGTTTTGTCTTTGCTTTCTGCCTTTGTAGTGCAAATGGGTTGTTTCTATTGTTTTTATTTTTTGTTGTTTTATTTTATTTTATTTTTTTATCTTAAAATTAGTAATAAACTATATCTGAAATTGTACATCACATATTTAATAAGTATCTGATGTGCTGCCACTGATCTTGAATAAATTAATTTCATTTCCAGAGTCTTTGGGAACAGATAAAGCACAAACTCTTAGTCCTCCTGAAAATACACAATGAAAACTCGGTTCAGCGAACTTCACCTGGCACCACACTGAAGTCTCTGGAGCCTTCAGAACAGGCCTTTGGTGTGATTCAGTATCCGTCTCCTCTTGCCAAAGAAGTTAAGCTCCCTCATATATGGTGGATGTTCTTGAACTTCTCCAGGCTGTATGGATATGATGTGAATGGGAAGAAATTGGCTGATAAGTCTGTAAGTTTAAAAATTTATTTTCATGAAGGATGTGTTGTCAATAAACTTCATAATAGAGGCCTCTTTCCTTAGGAATGCAGGTTTCCTTGATTCTCTTTTTGATGTGAAGGAATTTGACAGCAAAAAATTAATTTTATTACATGAGACTGTGTACTGTAATGATACAATGTTTTGGAAAATAGAAATAAGGGAGAAACTAAATCATACTAAATTGATACACATGATTTATTGCATCTGCAATTAGTCCCATTGCCACTTACACGGTTCCTCTTTTCAGAGTGAAATCAAGAGTGAAACTAAACTACTACGGACATTGATAAAATTATCTATGGAAGGGCAACAACCGACTGAAATTGAACTGCGTTTCTTCACTCGGTGCTGCCTCAGTCTCGGCCAGCTCTGGGGAGGGGAGAGGAGTAGCGAATGGGGTGCAGCACTGTGGGACTACTTTTCCAAACACCTTGATTCATCTTTCCTCTTGCCTGGTGCTGGGCTGGATGGGCTAGCCTGTGTGAGGTGTGTGTTTATGTTTCCCTGTGTATGGAATAAGTTAGCCATTGCTTGGGTGTTTTTTATGAGGTTTGATTTGTCTTATATGATAGGTCGTTTGGAAGTTTTGTAGTTGTTTAAGCACTTGCTGACTGATTCCAATAACATGGTCAGTTGGAGAGAGATAGTATTGACATACTGAAAGTAGCAAGGTTTCAGAAGTGAGGAAACATTTGTCAGTTCTTCCCGGCTGTTCACTACAGATATCTTTATCTGTCCACAGTAAAACAGCAAGTGGATGGATAGAACAGATCAAGTCATATGCCACAGACCCAACACATATGGGGAAGTCAGAGTCTTCATGGCAGATCTTTCTTCGTATCATTGGTGAGTATGTACGCTAAGGTATAGCATTTTATTACACACAATTATTGTTGTGTAGCTTGTTATCCTATGGCAGGACTGAGGACCATTTTTTCAAAATGCCCAGGATAAGACCATAAAAAATCATGTAATTATATGACATACTAGGAACGTTTTTGAGTGAAGAACATACCTGCACGTTTTTTTATTTTGCTGCTAAAGGAGCATAAAAAAGTTATACAGGAATAAGTATATATATTTAAAATTTAGAATTAGCTTTTTAGTAAACTATTCTTGATTGGAGCAGAAGAGCTCCTAGAATATTGAAAACTTAGTCAATAGTCCAATCAAAACATTGTGTATAAAGCAGCCTTTGCACATGTGGGCAAACCTAGTTTTGATTAGAGAATTGTATTATGGTTTAAATGAATATTTGTTCATACATTTTTCAGTTTATGCTAGAGATAATTTTCTTGCCATACTCAGTGAGATGTTCCTCCCAATTTCATTTCACTCATAATTCTGTCACAGTGTCAGTGGTGAAGACCAGCACCTTGGAATGGAGACAAATGAGAGGAAGAATCTATTCCAAATTTCATGGGCGCAAAATGTCGGAGCTCTCGCCCATTGGTCTGCACAACTCCACTTCTCTCTTTCTGACCCTTGCGAGCACAACAGATATTGTTGACGTGGTAGGGAGTTGTGGATGTGTGTTATGTTGTAGTTTGTTATAATTGCATGACAAAAAAGATACACAAAAAAACAGTGAACCAAAATCTATATTAGAGAGATAAGATGACGATTTCAAAATCAAACAGGTTTTCATGTTCAGTTCTGAAATCCAGGTGAGCTAAGCAAAATTTTGAAGCTTTTTTCCCCATGTAATAAACTTGGTTTCGGCTCTTATTTAAATAATTGCCATTCAAGTAAGATTATTGCTAGTGATATATGAAGGATTGCATATGTTTTAAATTATAATATTTACTGTGCGAGTTGTTCATCTTATTACATCAGGATGAATTGTGTAATTTTGGCAAATATGTTTTTTTTAAGGTTGCAGAGGCATATTTTCTTGTCTTTTGTTGTCTTGTGAAATGCGCATCTGTTGTAGGAACCAACAAGACAATAGATTTTTCTAGTGTGTACTATTACACAATATTACTTATGGCAGAATATTATGATCCTCACCTCTACTTTCCCTCTCTCCAGAGTAATAAGCTAAGCGAACTTCTATCAATGGTCCCAGCATCAAGTCTTGGCAAGTCAAAAATTGTTTGGCGTGGATTCCTGGCTACCATCTTACTGCTACTTGGTGCTGGCTGTGATATCTCACCAGTTATAGGGAAATTAAAGCCAATCATTGCAAACGTCTTGCATGAACTTGGTACTACTAGGGATGCAATGCAACGAAGGTTAGTGATTTTCACGATTAAGTCCGTATGGTACACAGAAATAAGAGTGAAGATTCAAGAGAGAAATTACCAGCGCTGTCTATTCTTCACCTGTCATATTATCTTTGATATGTATTTTGTTTTGTTTGAGATTGATGCTAACAATTAATTATATTTCTTCCAGGGATTTAGGCCAGCTGGTTGTCATATATGCAGATGGTCTCCAAGAAGTGTTTGAGCAGAGTCATGACCTAAGTCTGGCTCAGCATTCTCTCATTAGTAAGTTTGCATATTGTAGATCTCAATGAGTTGATTAGATAATACCAAATGAAAAAAGGTCACATCTTAGTAGAGTAAACTTGATACATAATAGATTACTTTATCTTAGTTTTCCTTACTTTTCAGGTGTGGGGCTCGGTGCAATCCTTCATCACTGCGGGGCTGTGGAGATGAAGGCTATTCTAAATGCCTTGGATGCTGCTCTCACCAAAGTTCTGGCAGTGTTGTCAAAGCCTCAGTATTTGGCCGGTAATTTTGATTTTTATGTTTGTATAACTTCTGCCATCCTTCAGAGATGGCATTAGAGAGGGTGGGAACTCCCGGAACTTCTCTGGATTTACTTATTTACCCAGGTCACACCATGTCCTTTGTAATTTTTGTTTATCAATTGTGTCACATCATTTTGCATAGATGACTCTGGAAGTGCTTAGTCACCAAGGAGTCAGTTTGTAGTTCTACCTATTACACTCGTTTACCATTTTTCTTGATTATCAGATTTTTAAAATTATAATTAGTATTTTTATAGCATTGCAATACTCATAATGTCAAGTGGAATAACACCAGTATCAATATTAATAGCATTAGAAAAGTAATCCAAGAATTCAGGGAATAGGGAAATCACATGAGGTCATGTAGAGCCTTAAATGGACTCTTGGTAGCTTGGCACTTTTGGAGCCATCTGCATGCAACAAAAACCTTCAGTAGACAGTGTATAAGCCCATGATAGATGGGTTAAAATAATTTTTGAGTTGAATTAAAAATGAACCTGTATCTTAACCCTTTACTTTGGACACGCCTATAGCTGTCATGACATAATGGGGTATGCAGTGTATACACTTCAAGAACCCCCGACCCCCAATAGCCAGTGAGTGGGTGGGCTGGCTGTACACAGGACAGGCCCAACCAGAAAGAATTGACTGTTGCGTAACGATTACTTCACAGAAAAATCTGGCCCAATCATGGGAGGGTTAATTACTTGTGCTGTCTTAAAGGCAAAGTGATATGCGATTTCCAAGATACAGTTGTATTCTTAAATAAAATTTCAGCCATTAATAAAACGGTTTCCTTTCAGGTGGACTAGGGACCGATATTGTTGAAGTTGTCTGGAAGGAATTTGGAGTCTTCCTTAGAAATCACGCCACCACACTCACTCCACCGGCTGTTCTGGGCTCGGTGGCAGCCAAACTGACTCTCTGTATGTCGTACGATTTTAACTCTGCAACTTCAGGGCTTAAAGAGGCTGCTTCTGGACTCTTTTCATACTTTGTCACAAATGAAGCTGTAAGCACTACGTAAGTATGAAAAGCCATATTTTAGCTGCATTTGTGCAAGCTGTCTTTATGTAAATTTTTTAATGCATTTTTATTTTTATTATTTATGGATGTATTACTCAACAGCCTGGAAATTACATTAAATTTTTTTCAAATGTGTCATTCAGACTAATTTTAGATCATACTGTCTCAAAAAACCTGTAGTGAGATTGTTGGTAAAATTGTTCCTTTCATCTTGAAATCTCAATTGTTTTATTTATCTACACAGCTGTAGTCTGCAATACATCACAAGTCTACTCGCAGAGCCAGGCAGCCTCACCCAAATAGACAAAGTTAACACAGGCTACGAAGGCCTTCTAGTATCAGGATGGTTAACAACCTTAGTGTCTATGGGGGACAGTGATGATGTAATATCACTCACTCCACTCATCATGACCTTGCCGGGTGTGGCATCCGTCATCAGCTGTTCTCCTCCCGCTTGTCCTTTTGCTGCTGCCAGACTTCTGGTGAAAGGTGTCAGCAAGAAGTTCAGTGAATCGCAGGTAAAAATTAGCTGTGAATCTTTTTTTTAGACATTTGCCTTGAACATAACTTTTTATGGAGATATCTCTGAAGTGTATAATTCTATAAATACAAGTTCATTACCCTTTAGTAATGTTGAAAATGACTAGATACATTCTTGTTAATATATGGAACAACTTGTATGTCATTTATTTTTCAGTGATAACAACAGGAATAGTATATATAGCTAGATCTAATGTATCAAATTTTGAACACTTTATAATGAAGAAATAACAAGAAATATAAGAAATTGAATTTCTGGGGGTAGAAAAACCAACAGTACACAATGCTCAAACTAGATTCATTCAGGTCTGAAGATGGAATCCAAAAGGATTTCCAAACTGTTGTCTCATTTATTCAATAAATCTAGTTTGTGCATCATGTTTTGTTCTACTATTGTATCATCACAGTAGAGTGTTTTCCCATTCATAATCTTAGGCAAATAAGGAATCAATAAAGACTTCATATTAATTATATTACTTTTTAAAGCATGAAGGATTGCATTTGTTTTTTATATGTTATGTTTTTAAATATGCATATGTTTCAAATCATAATCAAGTGAGGGTACAAAGACCTGAGCCTCAAACTTGCTTATCTTCCTTTACCAGAAATTCATGGATCGGATGGCCATCAGAGAACGGGCTCTTCAGTATTTTTCAGGTTTAGACAAACCTATTGGCGCTTTACTCAAGAAAACCCCCTGCCAAATCACCTGCGAGATGTGCTGGAATTAATTTCAGATCTTTTCTTTTATGGACATTCGGTTATTTATATTAAGGTATGGAACTGGATCCATTGTAGTCTTATGTGGAATACTATAAAGTATATAGTCTTATGTGGAATGTTATAAAGCATATGTTTTTTATTAAAGAACATAGGTATTTTGATAATGATCAACAAGTTTTTTTTTCCGTTCAAGCAACCTGAATTATTGTAATTGTTCTTCAATTATTTCAACTCTGAAGGCTCTAGCTATTAACAATCAGGTCTTGAAATTTTCTGTGAAACTTCCTACAGATATTTCTTCCTCCTTGTCATTTCTAGGAATGTTCTGATACATTTCTAACTCAGATTAGACGTGAATGTCATCCTAATTCCGGAGTTGGTGACTTGATCAATGTGTAGAAATTATTTAATGCAATTTTCACACTAGATTATTATTAAAACATAATTCAATAAGTTCTCTTCATAGTACTTTAGTTTTTAGATTACACAGAAGTGTAAGGGTTATTCTTCTTTCTTTGCAGTCGAGAACCCACGTGTCCATTACCTGTACTTGTTAGTTCTGTTCTGTTGCCCACGACGATTTACAGCTGTGAGAAAACCACTCAATGCATCGTTGTCTACAGCACTGGGCAACACTATACCACCTAAAGTAAGATTTTTGGCATCCTAGTTTGGATTGAAGCATGGAAAGTGGTAATGAAAATCTTTATGATGGTTGTCTATATTCTTAAATGCTTTAATTTCCTCTTGATTCATATATCAAAGGTTATAGAAGAAAAATTAAAATTACCTATATATTGAATTATGCTTTTCCATGAATATAAAGTAAAAATGTCCTTGTGCAAATATCAATTGTTTGTGATCATCTGGTTTTAGAAAATGTTATTAACTTTGGTGGTTTTATTACTGAGACTCCCCTGTTTGGGGTTCAGTTGGTTAAAGACAATAATTAAGTTATTTTTCTGTATGTCCATTTCAGATGGTGTGTGGTCTGGGATCGCTAGGCTTAGCTCAAGATCCTTACCTGGTGCGTTGTGTGAGGGACGTGTTCAATCATTACATGTATAGGTTCCCTGTGAAAACCACAAAAAATTATACGACAGTAACGCACCCTTTCATCGTAAGTATTATGGTTATTTTTTGCTAATGTGTATGTGTAGGATAAACAGGCCATTGTAGTATAATGTTTTTTTTACTTTTTTTCTTCTCCTTTTTTATCATTGTCATCAATCATCATCAGTCATTGTCATCTCCATCATCATCATTATCATTTTCATTAATATTAATATTATTATTATTATTATTATTATTATTATTATTATTATTATTATTATTATTATTATTATATTAATTATTATTAGCATGTATAGTAAATGAGTAATAAAGTCTGGATAATAGTTTATACATAATTTATTTTCATTGCAGTGGCAAACATGACTGAAGACTGATGACCTTCATTTGTTCATATAGTCCTCCTCATCTATCTAAAATTTGAATATACAAATGGTTTGTTTCTTCCAGATGTGTCTCCATGACGCTGATGTAAGGGAGGAAGTCATCCAAGAATTACGTCAGGTTTTCTGGAAGTCGTACGAGACAGTTACTTTGGGAAACGAGGCATCAGCAATCTTCATTTGCAGGTGGTATGTATTACACAGGGTATAATACTGCTCAGTGGGCTTGGGTGTCTGATTTCAGTTTAGTGTTTGGGAGTTCAAGCTTCTCTGGGGCTGCAGGTGTTTAGGACCCTAATCATCCCTCACATATCGGGAATTAACAACTTATAGAGCCTGTAGGTCAAGGCTCATGTGCTCACATTATTTATTATTATTTTATTGACGGTAATGTTAGTGTTTCAAATTTCTTCCAGATAGTGCAGCTTTTGTTATACAAATATAACATTGATAGTAAAAACAACTCTCTCTGTAGAATGGTTAGCTTAAGTGTCACTCTGAACTAACTAGGCTCTGCTTTGCATTTACTGGGGACAAAAAAAGATAACATGTACATTATTCTCAGGTCATATCATTAGTGCTAGAATTGATGTCCAGGAGTGCTATGGAATGGCAGGAGTGTGTGTGCACCTACCTCTTGTTCCCTCTCCTGGAGCTTCTCCTCAATCTTGAAGATCAAATCCACCAAGAGAATTGCAACAGACCTCCTCCAGAAGCTGTTACAGGGAGCTCAGGAACAAGACGTTCCCTCACGGTATGTGTCCATTAGGCTCTCATGGTCAAAATGTTTTTTATTATTAATCATTAATCAAACTTTTCTGTGCTGGTGATCTGAAGTTCTCAATTTTCTTTTGGCCATTCAACTAAAATTAAGTATCATATTAATACCATCAAACAGCTACAATGAGAAGGAAACATGGCTTTGCTGTTTTATACATGGAGGATGATCCTGGCAACAGCCACTTAGTATGACTCTTGCAAAATTCATACTAGGTTGTCCTCCTTCATTTTCTTCTCACACACAACAGTACATTTAATCAGGACTTAACCTTTCAGGAATGAACTAGTAAAGAGCATTCGACAGCTGGTTTTCCAACATGTTTCCTGGTCATCTAGTAGGCTCTTCCGCGTGTTGGGTGTAGTGGGAGTTCTACACAGACCGCTCTTAGTGGATTCACTGCCTCACATTGCAAGAGCAGTCACAGCCACAGAAGAGAAACGAGGAACTGGACTAGATCACACACTTAGGTTTGTTCATATGATACAGGATTTATGACTGGTAGTGTTGTTGCATATTTTATTTATATTTCCCCTCCCCCCCAATTGTTGTTGGAATGTTTACTTTCACTTATCAAATAGTTTGATTCTGGAGTGAAAATGTTCACAATTAGTTCATGCAATAATTCATACTTACTCATGAGATTGGGAGAAGAAAAATCAGTGGTGAATAGTAAACAAATTCAAACAAAGAAGGAAAGAAAGGAAGTACATGCATATTTTAAAACCTCTTTTGTAACAAACAAAAGACTTCACAAAACTAATGTTGATTTCCCTTTTCTTTGAGCAAAGTTAATGATTTTGCAATATTAGATACATAACTGATATTTTGATTGTTACTCTCCATGATCATGTTCATTCTAAAAATGAGCTGTAGTTTCCATTGTGAAATTATGGTCATTCATAAGACCTGTATTTTATATTTATGTGTTTTCTTTTTTCCAGACAAGGCTATCAGTCTTTACTCAGCAGCTTGGGAGTGAATGAAGGAGATATACACAGCAGTTCATAATATTGAATGTTCTTATGTTGCAATAATGATTTTTTAAAAATTTCTTGTAAGAGTACAAATTTAATTCCTTTGAAGTCTATTGAGGTTAGCACAGAAATCATTGTATATTTTTTACATGAAACAAAATATATAACTAATCATTTTTTATTTAAATATCATTATCCTTTCCTACAAAAACCTTGTAGTACATCTAAATATCATATCCTAATTTCCAGGCAATCAATGACATGGTGCCTGCTCTATATAAACATTAACTCAAGTCTTTTACTCAACAACAAAAGGAGATTTCTAGTAATATTACATAAAAATTTGAAATGTTGAATCACAGGGATGGGAAGCTTATCACAAAATGCATTTACATGCAACTTTCAGTCAGTATAAATATAGTTAGAGAAACAAACAAAAACTATACAAGTGATTACTAATGGGAAAAAAAATCAGATCAGTCATTTAATTTGAATGGTGACACACAATCAGTCAATATAGGAACTTGTAATCTCCAAATGAATATGATAACACAATATTCTTGTGTTAATGATTCAGGAAACACACTGGACCTAAAATGTAACCCTCCTAACAGTGCGTCATCTGACATGCTAATACTAAATGTTCCAAATATGTAAACTAAACCTAAGGATTACATATAGTATGATAATGTTCCCATTTGGCGATATTCAGAATGTCTGCTTACGAAATAGCCCCATTCAGCATTGCACTCTTAAGTTTATAAATGCATTAGTTTACTGTTCTATTTACCCTTGTCATGTACAAAGTCTCCTCAGAATTGGATACATGCTCACCAATATACACATATTTGAGATCCACACCATTAAAAAAAGATTAATAAACATTTGTCTACTCAATACTTACTACAACCATTTGAGCCTGAATTCTTTTTATATTACAATTGAGATTACTGTTTCTAATAACATTACCTTTTACCGTATAAAAAGATGCAATGGAAAAGAATACTGAAATTAAAGTCATCAAATGTATCTTGTACCTCAACCATCTAAGAAGTATCCCAGCTTTTAAATACTTATCCCTTCACAAGTGGAATGTTGCTGGTAGTATTTAATTCATTGAGGGAAAATCTTTGCTTTAACTAGTTTTACTAATAGTAGCGAATCTATAAAATTCCAACATCCTTCAGAATAAATCTTTGCCAGACTTGACCCAGAAATAAGGTTAGTCCTATACAAACCTATGGTTTATCACACATACATTGAATCTAGCGTTAAATGCTCAGCGATTTATCCCAATTTTCTGTATAAGAGGGACTTCTCTAATTTATCTAAAATCCATTTGTGTAGTAGGAAGATGCTGCTGGTCATCATGATTGTCCGTAGACAGCAAACAGAGTACTGATTAACAAATGCAGTTGCTAAGGACACATGCTGACTCTTGGGTGCCTCTCCTAATCTACCAGCAGGGGAAGCCGTCACTAGATGTGGACGAAGAACTGCTACACCCATTTCCTTAGCAGAGCCTACCTTATGGATTTGCTGTGACAATAGTAAAGTGCCCTCTCTTTAAGTGATCTTGATCGAGGCAAACTTCTTGGCTTGAAAATGGAACTCTGCTATTTCTCTTGAGCGTCGATTACTGCCCACCAATACCATTAAAGTTTCTTGCAGTGTAGCTTTGTGCTTCAGTATAAGATACTGATCCAAGTCTAGAATCAGACATTCTCATGTGTGTCACGATGACGGTAGAGACAATCTAATTCAAAACTATCTTTTTGACAACTGCCTTTTCAAGTTTGAAACTATGAGAAGAGCTAAAAAGTTTTCTTAAAATTCGATACCAACCTCGTCACTGTATTTGTCTAAGAGTTTTCTAGCAAGAGGTGTGAGAACTGGACCATAAATTGAAAACCTATCAATGCCAATAATGTTATAAAAGGCTATAAATTCAATTATCTTCAAAGTAGTTACTGGACCTCCACTGGAAG